TTCTAGTAAAGTCTACAACCATCTACGGGAACTCAGGATGCATGTGCGGTATTTCAGCCCAAGCAGGAGTAAAATGAAAGCAACAGATGAACGGATTTTATGTGTGAAGGCCCTGGCGTCATCCTCAAAGCTCCTCTTATTTCCTTGGCTGTCGTCCGCTTTCGAAAACCAAGGAACTGTCCCCTGTAGTCGAGAAAGATGGCTTGAAACTTGCTGTAGTAGAAAGGATGAAGTTGGTTTGATTTGGAGGTCGCAGGAACCAGGCTGCGTGGAACCCTGGTGTGGATATCCTCGTCCCGGAATTTAGCGCAAACCCACCCGTCATAGGGGGAACCTATTCACGTGCTCTATCTTAGATTGTTTTACCAAATTAAATTTTCCGACACACGTCAACCAGAAACGTGTCGGCCGTTTAAAAAAACCAGTTCTTGGCTGCTGTAAGGGGAATATCCAAGGAACTAAGACAGTAATGCTACTCTAAATGAAAGCAGGCATGTCAGAAATTTGTCTTTAGACGTACAAAGTCAGCTCTGATGATTCAATCAATTTTCTGCAATAAAATACATATTCTCCCGCAGATGGAGATGTTTTCGATGTCAGTGCAGCCTTGAGAGTGTTCGAAATCTAGCTCCCTCAACAAGGAAATGAGCAATGCCTTTAGAACTACTGGCCAATTGTGTGTCTGATCTATCTTCGTTGATGAACTTTCACCGATCGTCCAGCTCTTCCTTGAGACTCACTCGTGAGCGCCACCAGCAGCCGCACAATGGTTAGTAATTTAGGCAAATGTACACTGCGGGCAAAAACAAGAGAAACTAGAATGTCCCTTTTTTAGCCTATTAGCCGTTATCAGCCAGTCATATCCTACCCCAAATGGTGCATTACTCCAGGATCAAGCTCGCGTTCTTTTGATCAGACTTCCAATATTTCGGCCACTGACCATCTGCCTAAAGTACTAGCTGTTGTTCGGATGCTGACGAGGCTCGGGAGTGAGCTCCGAGACAGAGCGGGATGACTGAGTTCCATTAGTGACCGGTCAACTTTCATCAACGAGTGTCAAGACAACGAGCTCGAGACTCAATGGTTAAAGCGTTGGCCTTATGATCAACAGTTTGCTGATGGTGCACCACTTGAGGTTGGCTATCACTGTCTGATGCCAGCTAATGAGCCAGAAACGACCGACAATGTTCACTTTTGTGCAACACACAGACTATGCAAATACTACTATTACCTGCTGTGTTCCGCCAATGGTTTCATCAATCTTTAGGCATCAACGGGTGTATAAGTAAAAAGAAGTGTGTTTGGGACAAGTTTCTAGAAATAAAGTCCCTAAACAGCCGTTACATAAATATAATTATATTCATTGGTCTAAAATGCTGGTAAGCGCGTAACACTTTTTCATAGTACCTTGGAACACCTATTCGCATGTCCTGACTAACAATTCAATTAGGAATAGTAAAGAAGCAAGTAACCTTCTCGGTGGTGAAGCGATATAAACACGACCTTTTTATACGTAGTAGCATGGACTGCATGTGTATGTTCATGTTCAGCTACAAGAACCCCTTGAAACTCCGGATAAACTGTAAAAACGTGGCTAAACTTGGTCAAGTAAGTCTGCCAAAATATGATGAATGTAGGGTATCCCCAAGCGGTCACAGTGTTGTTCAAAATAGCCTGAACACTAGTTTTTTTTATCGCAGTAGTAAGATATCAACTTTTCATGGAAAGGAATAGTGTATGGGACTGACACCCATCGAGCTGATCTGACCAAATAGTAGATGGCCCCATATTGACAGGCGGAAATGGGTTTGGAGACGAAGACTGGTGGAAGGTAATGGCCACTGTCACCCCCTCCCCCCTTCCCCACCAGCCACGTCCAGGCTCAGGTCATAAGTATTTAATAATTTAAGGGGCAACAATTCAGAAACACACAAGCACCTGTTCCCTATGCAACGTCAGTGTGGGTCCATCTGCAGAATACGACACAACGTATAGACCATTAACATAATTTATGATACACTTCAAAATCGCCCAAGTAATTTAGCTCGACTTGAAACAAAGGTATTCAACTGATTGATTAGAATATTTAATCCTTTTGCTATGACAAGATAACCACTAAGACAGTATGCATTTTTTGCTTTTTGATGTCCGCATAAGTCTACTGAGGATTTTTTGTAGAGAGAATGCACAGATTATTCATGTCCCATACACATTTTTAAGACAACATTAATTCATTTGTGCATTTTTCGGAACACAGTCCGCGTTTTCGATTGTTCTAAAAATTTCCAAAACACATCTTATGCACTTCACCCCGAATTAGATTAAAATAATCCAAAATACGTTCAAAAGGCGTCCTCCTATTGTCCGCTAGACTATTTTTTACTGCTGTAGAACACTATTTATAAGGCAAAGGATGTTAATATGCAAGTGACGTTTTTTGAGCGTCCGAAACATTCTAATAATTCGTATTTCTTTGGAACCCATAGGGTCGCTTCCTTTCGAGAAACATTTTAATAGAAAAACACAAGAAGTAAGCTATTTTGGCGTTTTTTGCGTTAGGCTGAGTTGAATTTATTCAGTCAGATCGCAAAAGTACACATCACCTAAGTAACGATTTTTGTTTAAAAGAAAGTCACACCACTGACTGGCAAGACAGCTAGAAAGCATTTGAAAATATATCAGACAGGATGCAGCCTTTGAATCAGACTCTGTGGTAATTATATTTGCAATATTATCCAATTACCCTTTTAGTACTAAAAGGCAACTGCATTTTCCGTCAATACGTCATAAGTTTAGACTCACACGGTCAAGAAGGAGTTAAGACTTGCAGTCTATTCGCATACGGTCCATAAATAAAATACTCTAACTGTCGCACTGTCCTGATACATTTGTTCCTCCCTGCAAAATTAATAGATAGCAACTTTTTGCCCCCAGTGACTTACTCTCGAGGCTATAAAAGCCAGTGCGCAAAAAAACGTAAATGGCTCTGCCTCCAACCTGAGCAACATGAAAAGTGGGAAGTTATCTGACAGGCTAGGCGGTCGTTGCGTTGTGCGCACGTGTTTCTCCGCGTTTGGCCTGTGGATGCTTGTGATCGAATCTAGCAAACGCGTGACAATTTCAAGTGCTTTTCTCCAAAAATTTGAGACTGCTGATAACGGCAGTAACAGGCCTAGCAACCACTCGCTTGAACAAGTCTCGATCTCGCCCTAGACTGGGCGGAGGAGGAGGAGGAGACGAAGGAACAAGTATTAGCAGGCTTGAGAGTTCGTAGCTCGTCGCTGTGTGTCCATCAGTCACTCTTAAACACACTTTTTCCCCGAGGCTGTTACTTTCCCCCGGGGGAGTGCAGAGGCAACGCAACTGATATGGGCAGGCCGGCGCCAGTGTGCAACAGCGACCGGAAATTACAAAATAATCTCGACTGAGCATCGCGCGTAGACAGCAGGATCAAATTTGGCCGTTACTAGCCCACTTACAGGCAAGCACAAATCGATGCGGGCAAACTATGAGGAACTTTTATGTGGACTTAGTGCTGACCCTAAATGCACTGTCTACAGAACTGTCAAGCAAGTAATTGAATACGCTCACGTCTGCAGGAACTTGGTGATTGCCCGTCCTTGCGTGACCATTCTCATTTGCCTGTGATGGGCTGTCCCGCAAACCTGAAAATCTCAGCCCAGACGTGTGTGTGTGTGTGCGTTTGCTTGATTTATTGCTGCGTCCGGGGGAAAAGGAGGGTTGGGAGAAGAAGAAGGACAGTCACGAATTCTGCAGTTACTTCGATCCAGAGTGCTGGGGACAGTTAGGTCGCTAGTAGGTTCACCCTCATTGCCCCCTGCCAATGAATGCTTTTTCCAAATACCAGTCCGAAACCTGCCTCAGTTTATTCAACATACGGGACTGTCAGTTAGCAGCGGCTGGTGTGAACACGCTTTGAAGCCTGTCTAGACAAAAGCATTGTGTGAAACTTATGGCTTTTCTATTCAGCCACAGGCATATGCGTGAGAAGATTACACGACAAGCTGGTTTTATGCACAAATTGCTTTCTGGCTGTCAATCTGAGCCGTTTTTAGATGCACCAAGTCGAGTAGTAACTTTTTGGGTTGTCTAGGAAGTAATCGCTACAGGCGGTGACGAAGCGAGTTCATACAGGTCATAGAGATACCTACCGCAAGAATATGTGTAAACTTTTCTGCTAGAAAATTGTATTGGCCACATATTTGCCAGCACTATGAATGACATTTCAACGAGGTTTATTCACATTCATCAGAACGTCATTATATAGCAGCAATAGCCACAAGCAATCTTTTTTGTTCAGCAGAAGAAGATGAAGAAGAAGAAGAAGAAGAAGAAGAAGAAGAAAGAGGGGCGATCAATGGAATTAGCCTTGTATTCGCATGATGTTTCGGATTACTACCCCGACCGTTAAGAGGAGGATAAAGGAGTCCTGTAAAATCGAACTCCTACGAACCCACCTGAAAGCCCTCAAAGAAAAGGTGCAGAAGTCATGTTGTAGGACAGTGTCGAATTTTATTTGAAGTAACTGCCAGTGGACTAAGAGCTTTCTGTAAAGAAGAGGAAGCCATGATCTCTGGAACAATAGTTTTATTCTGAGCTTTCGGCTCCATACGAGAAGCCATCGTCAGACAGCCGAAAGCTCAGAATAAAACTACCGTTCCAGAGATCGCGACTTCCTCTTCTTTACAACAAGAACCTGGGGCACGCATATTCGCTTCTATTCGTAAGGGCCTTCTTGCAGCCTTTCTTTGCATCCAGTTCTACCAACCAACCAACTTAAGTCTCGTTTCGGCTTGGAATACCCAATTCCGCCCAACAAAATCTGGGTGGAAAGGAAAGTCAAAGCCCTCGGTTTTTGTCAGGGTATAAAAGTGGGTCATAAAACTGGGGAATTTCCGGAAACGAACTAAAAAATGCACAGCCATCAATCTTTTGAGGTAATCATGCAGTAAACCAAAAGGACTTTTGATTCTGCAGAGTTTAAGGGATCTTCACGACATAGTGCAAAGCAGCCGTGAAGCTGGTAGGTTTCCTAGGCAAAAAGAGACTAAGATCACGCCTGAGTAGCGGACGTCCAGAAAGTGCACAACTTTAAGTTAAAGGGATATATTCCACTTCCGAGGGGTCAAGTATGTGGTTTTTAGTTTGGTTCGAGTCTGCGTGGCGGAATCACCAGCAAACCTATACCTAGAGTGCACCGACTGTTCGACTGCCGATTTCGACGATTTCCACCGCGAGCCTCAGCAGGCTGAAGTAACGCCCTGACTCCCGCGGGAGTATAGTGAAAGTAGACTCGTCGGATCTATCCCACTCTGTCACCACTCCCACACCTGTGTCCGATGTCCAGATTAAAGTCTAGAAGATCGGAGATGGGGAGGCGCAGGCGGCTGGTGCGGCCAACGCTCAATACGCGAACTAACAGCACACCTTGCTAGGTAAGCTCCCAAGTGTGCGGGAGCGCCATAAAGGCCACACCAAGAAGGAGCCTTTGAGCTTGACTCTCAGCCTCTAGTAAGTCACTCCGCACAACAAGAATGGCTTGACTGCGGCGTCCAATTTACCCCGTCAGTTGGCAACCCTCCAAGCCACGGATTTTAGCGCACCACGATAGCTTCAAGCACATCGGATTGTTTTTTTTAGTGGGGAAAGAAATGCACTGAGAGTCGACCTCACTCTCTCAGCAACAGGCCACCGCCTAGCTGATCACTCGCCTGAAGTGGGATGGGCGCAGTGCTTAAAAGAGAAACAAGTTGGTGATGAGCACCAACAAATATATCACAACACAAAGCATACAAGAAGACCGAACCACGAGGATGTAGTTGAAGTCTGTGACACGGAAAGGCAAACAGCTGCCGACCTAAATATGCGAACACGATACAAACATTTACACAAAAGACTACTACTGCATATTCCACAGAAGATAATACAACGTTTCGATTTTCATTTGGAAATCGCTCTGGCAATCCGAGCAACAAAGATCCGTGCTCTGCAGCCAACGTTTACTCAAACGTTCTAAAGTGATCTCTGCGTATAGTCTATGAGCTCTTACACCATTAGCTGCATCAGTGAGGTACGGTGAAAACGCCCATCCTGACGCCCCTCCCCCCTGTTGATGACTCACAAGTTTCCCGCCCGAAACTGAGGAGACAACCTGCAGCTTAGGTTGCCGGGGTCGTGCACCGGAAACGCCAATCAAGTAGTCCCCCAGCGCCGGTCACACGGAAGGTGCACGCTAATGGTCGTCGACTCAGTGAAAAGGAAAAACGTGTTCGTCCTGCAGTCAGCATACAATTAGTGTAGGTTTTGTCTTCAAGAACCACTTGTGGAGTTAATTGCCCGAAGTGCCACAGCCCCCTAACAGACGTCCTGCAGAACTAGTTTTTTCTCCTCAGGTTGTGAATATTTTAACTATCGACAGCTCTTTTTCGTCCAGGTTAGCTTGCTGAGGTTTTCAGTGGGTAGTACTCAGCTTTGTGAGTGGGTGCTCTTGAATTAGAAATTACTATCCCAAAAAGTAATTTAGTCGAAAAAATCTATAACTATTTCACAATGTGTACGAAATAGAGAATAGTGTTTGCTCCCCTGGCATAACAGAAAATGTGTACAAAGTTATTTAAATAGTGTAAAGCTGTTCATTTTGCGAATGGGCTTTCTCGCTCTATTTGTTTCTTCATAAAAGTGCAAATAGATGAATGCTCGCAGGTGTTCTGTTGTCAAGGATTTCAGTCCCAAGAACTGAGAAAAAGACGACTCGATCGCTGGGACAATACTTTTATTCGCCTGACGTTTCGACATCCGTCGCGGATTCAGCATCAGAAACATTAGCAGAAAACGATAGCAAAGACGGGTAATACATGCGCAGTAGTTCGTAGTATTTATATGATACAGTCATTACCGTAAGCATACAGCGACAATTAACGTTAATTGCCTTCTTGCGCGTGGATAGTTTGCTG